AAACTAAACATAATGAGTGTCATGGGTGGGTTCATGGCATACTGGATAACAAGATATTTTGAAGAATACAGGTTGCAAACTGGGCATGCATATTTATAAGGAATTAAATTATCACCTAAAATATTTATAGAAGTAACAGACATACCGAAGCTGTTATTCCAGACAAGCACATAAATAAGAAAATTTGTAGTAGACCTCCAAGAATAGCCACTGCTCGAACAACTCGAAGCTGTAAACATGAAAAGAAATATTTATATCATACATGGATGAGCTAAAATGTAAAAGTTTAAGCTAAAAACAATAAATGAGAATCCAAACCAACCTTTGTCGTTGAAAACTCTAAGCCCAATGCAAAAAGCAAAAAGATAACGCCAAATTGAGCAACTGTTTCAACCTACATGGAATGGAAGCAATGTGTGAGATTACTAGGAGATAAAATTGATTACATTTTAATTATCACTCTATTGGTCTATTTCAATATGTCATATACAAATAGACTTCGGCATCCCATTCACATTATGATCTCTTTTCTGGAAAGAATGACAGTGAACAAAAGAAAGGGAAAAAAAATATTAGAGTATATAAATAAAGAAACTAGAAGGAAAACATACTTGGACCATTTCACTAACAAAACTCAAACCTCCAGGTCCAATGAGTGATCCTGCTAGCAGATATCCAGTCATAACCTGCAAATTTGAATGTATGGATGACCCCACTTTTAAGAGGTATATGGTAGAGATATCAACTGGAAACAACAAAGCAATGTTTGTGATCATACTGGTTGTCCAGCACAAGCAAAGGCAATGCCACCACAGGTTGCAGAGACAATGACAACCACAAGATCTGATATCAATCTGCAAATATGGCATATCAAAAAGTATAAGCAGCCTGACTAGATAGTAGTGGCAACCGCTCACACATGTAATGCCACTTGAAAAAGAAAGAAAACAAAAAGGATAGGAACATTCAGTAAACCTCAAGTCTAATTGAAGAACAGGATACTTTGACTTGGGATTGGATATGATAAAGACATTGTCCTGAAGATGAAACAACAAGAAAAATATAAAAAATTCAATCCACTACTGAGAAGAGTTGTAAAATTGAATTTTTCATGCATATCATGATGATGTGGAGGTAATGGAATATTATTGCACTCTCTACATTTGAAAGACCTAATCTTCATGAGCTTGAACTAGACATACCTTTCGATCAATTAAAGTTGGCATATCCTCTGCTCGGTTTTCGTTATCCAAATTGAAAACATCATGAAACTGAAATGACCTGATAAAAACTTACCAAATGTCATAAATACTGAAAATAGGTAATGCGTTTGCATTAAATTTTTATAACTCAGCTCCCTCTTGAAGAAAAGCCAATAATACATTCGATTCTACAAGAAAGAGGTGCATACTTTTCCTCTTTGCTCTCATTTTTCTTGGACTTAACTCTGGCGACAGTTTCCAAAACAGCCTGATGCATTTAACATATCATGAGAAGGGAAGGACATTAGACATTGAGTCTATTCACGGGCAAATAATAAGTCACACACATAAAAACCCTTAAAAATCAGAAGAATCAGGATTTACAAAAATGGAAGGTAAAATTCATTATCCCAGAGATAATCTAAAACATAAATTTCACGTGTCATAAATCACATCTGAACGAGTCATCATCTATTGTGGTTTTTTGTCTTTGATCAGCTTAGTGTTCTTCTAATGAATTATCATCCACAGACTTAAATCCCAACCAGATTGAGTTCTAGCCTAATGCTAAATACCCATAATAGCGGAATTAGATTGCTAGAATGCCACACCCTGTTCCCGCCAGGGCTGCTTCACATCGAGAAAAATAAAAAAATTCGGGAGGCAATTAAATATATCATGAAAAGCAAATCAATGCATACCTGCTGTTCAGCAACGCTGTTGTTGAAACTACCAGGATCAGTACCTGTAAAAGAGTCAGGATTATTCAATAAGTGCATTCATTTGAAGAAACCTTTCCACAATGCTACACGTGGTTAGTGAAAGATTCAACAAGCTCGTGGCAACGTATCCACGTAAAAATATTTGGAAGTTGGTAGCATTCATTGATTTTCCATCACAAAGGCAAAAAATGGAGCGAAATTTAGTTATCACATATCTTTTTCCTCACACGTATCACGCAAATTTCCAATCACAGTTCACGCGTTACTGAGAGAAAAATTTACATAGAAGAGAAGTTAAATTCAATCTCACAAGGCATATAATGAAATTGCAGAAAAACGCATCCAGAGAAGTGAAATGAAACTCCAATTGAACGGCATTTTCGAAGATTCATATTTCATAGGCAAATCTCAAAACCACGATCCAACGAGTTCTGGCAACCAAATTAAACGAGAAAAATCGAAATGTCGGAGCAATAAAAAGACGAAGTGAGAAGCTAGATCTGCGAACCTTCATTCTGCTCATTCTCGGGAAACTCTCTTTCAAGAGCCCGATCAATCATGTTAGCGAAGCTATCCTCGTCGGATCTCACAAGCGAGGCATTACCAACGATGGTTGCGTTGGTTTCCGCGACGAGAAGCTCCTGCTCCCCCTCGGAGTTCGCAGCGAGGAGAGAGAAAGAGAATGAGGGATGACAGAGAAGCAGATCGCAGAAAATGAGAAGGTTGAGAAACGCGGGTAATGTTAACCTCATCTCCCAGGCTCAGAGAGAGAGAGAGCAATGGAGAAGTGTTGAAACGACACCGCCGGAAGTTAGCAGCAACGTCGCGTTTGGCGCGCGAACTCTTTGTCTCTTTCTTTCACTCTTAAGAGCAGAAAGATGCGAGAGTGAGAGATTGTTTGTTAAGCTTGAGAGAGAAAGAGAAAGGGGTAGAGTGCAAGTGGGAAAGTACGAAATGGTCCTCGATATTCGGAGTAGTGAAAATTGAGAAAGGAAGTTCGGGGTGGAAGCACGTCCGAACGCGAGGGTGGCCAAGTGCTATGCACAATGAGGCGCGTGTGTGTCACTGCGAAATTAAGATGCTTACTTGCGTCGTAACTTATGCAAAGCTTTACAGCAACCAATGTTGCCAACAATATACGGACACCGCCCAAAAACTTTTGCTCACCGATCATATTTTTATTTCTGGATATTCAATTTTTTTTCCTTCAAATGTTCAATTGTTAACGCGGTCTAGGTGGATTCGAACAAGTCAATTTGTTCAATCGATCAGCAATCTTCTTGTTTAAAAATTTGAATTTACCGGAAAAGATGAATAGATCTCACGGTCATTAAATTATTTGACGCGTGAAAATTTAAAAAAAAATAAAGGTAAAAAAACTCAAATTCATTTTCTGAAAAAGGTACACATTGATGCAAAATTAATTATGTTTATTGGTTATTAAATTAAACTTTCAATCATAGAAAAAATAAACTTACAAAGCTTACTTTTATGTCATTATTATAAGGAAAATGCAACTTTTCACTTCTTATAATTGAAATTAACCATCTAAAAATATTGTATAAATAAACACATAATATTTATTATATTTTTAGTAAATAGTTTTTTTAATATAATGGCTTTGTCTCTTTTTTTCATCCTTCACAGACTTTTATCCATTTATTTGGTACATTATATTTAATATTCATCTCTCATTAACATTGAGCTCCCCTAATTTCTTATAATGTTATATAAAACAAGAGAGGTTGGTGTGATGTCAAAAGTGGAAGGTAAGTATAATGTACAATTTACTTTTACTTTATTTATATGTGATAATGATATTTTAAATAATTGAAAAACACATTTGATAAAAAAAAAAATTAAATGAATAACGTAGTGATATTGTAATTTTTTAAAGAACCCATCAAACATTAATTAATTTATGGGAAATTAATACTTAATTGAGATTCCTTTACCTTGTTCACATGTGCGTTCAAGGTTGTTCGCTAATCAATTAATTATTGAAAGTAATTATTTAAAAAAAAACTATTGAATTTTTTTTTTCAAAACAGTATATTTTTCGAAAGAAGTTTTCTTTTTCTTATTTTCATTACATGACAGAGACCTTTTGGGCTTTCATTTACTGGATCGTCCTCCAAAAGGCTCTGTAGAGACCTTTTGTTCAATACCTTGCTAGGTTTATTACAAAAAAAAGGCCCGAAACGGCCCGCTGGGGAGTCTCGCTTATTCATAGCTCATTAGCTTTGTTTTGTTGAAAAGAATAAAAAAAAAAACTTAGTTTGGTTTTTCAGGACCCAGTCTCTCTTCTCTCTTGCTTATAAAAGAAACTTGCGACAAAAAATCATTATCGCATTTAAGTAATAAATTATAAATTATCTTGTATACAGTATAAATATTTTAAAATTTGAGTAAAGTTTCAAGAAATATTTAATAAAAATCAAGTTCACAGTATAATCGAAAAAATTAGATTAAGTAAATAAGCTATGACAAAAAATGCATAAAAATAGTTAATTAACTAAATTTTAGAATGAAAAACTAAAATAGTTAAAGTTGAAAGTTAAGAAGAAAACATCTTATCATAAAATAGATAAATATGAAAATAATGCATAATTTTTAAATTTTAAAAAAAATATAAATAAATACAAATAGTAATAAAGGTTGGAGATGTTTGTCCAAATAGATTTTGTCTTTTAAACGGTGGAATATTAAGCACTTATATGTTACGAGAGTTATAATTTTATTCACTCAATTATTACAAGGGTAAGAGTTTATAATTTTATTTGAGAAAAGTTATAAAAAAATAAAATTACATCAAGAGTGTGTAAATATAAAAAAGAGGACAAATCATATCATTACTATTATTATTTGTGATGCTTTGAGAGAGGTATAAAAAATGTAGGAAGATTTACTTAACTCACCAAAAAAATCTCCAAATCAACAAATACTTTTTAAATATAAAACTATTGCTGAATAGATATACTTTTTTAATCAGCTGGGATCATAAACACTGTATAAATCCAAACACAGTAACAGTTGAAAGAATAAATTTGCAATTTGCATCGGATAAGTGAGGTTAGAGAGAGGGTGGAAACATCGACATCTTCTTCTCTCATTCACACTCACACTCACACAAGAACCAAAAGCAATGGGTGTAAGCAACAACATAACCGCAGTGCTGAACTTCATAGCCATCCTCGCTTCAATTCCCATCATAGCCTCTGGCATTTGGCTGGCATCAAAACCAGACAACGAGTGCATAGCCAACTTCCGCTGGCCAATCGTCATCATCGGCATCCTCATCCTCCTCGTATCACTGGCTGGCTTTGTCGGTGCTTACTGGAACAAACAGGGTCTCTTGGCCCTTTACCTCTTCTCTATGGCACTCCTCATCGCTCTCCTCCTCATCCTCCTCGTCTTCGCTTTCGTCGTCACAAGACCCGACGGAAGCTACTATGTTCCCGGAAGAGCCTACAAGGAGTACCGCCTCGACGGCTTCTCTTCCTGGTTGAGAAACCACGTCACCGGTTCCGGTAGTTGGCAGAAGATAAGGCCCTGCTTGGCTGCTTCTGATGTCTGCATTAAACTCAACCAGAATTACATCACTGCCGATCAATTCTTCAACTCTCATATCTCTCCCTTACAGGTACACACCTCCTCTGTTCCCCTTCTTTTTGGTTGTTTTACCTCTGCTTCTGGGGAACAAGCAAGATGTCATTAAATTATTGTTTCCGAAAAGAATTTTATTTTTAAAGGCATTTTTATTCCTTAATTGTCTTTGCTCACACCCACATCACATGACTCCATGTTATGTGTTTAACATTCAACAACGCTTTTAATTGATACTTGAATTTTAGATTTTTGTTTTTTTGGGTACGAAAAATGGAATATTCGAGGGTCTTGAATTAGAAAAGGAAAAAGGGTTGTTTGAACCTGGTATCATCGTACAGTGGATCTACAAGCTTTGATTTCATGGATTTTTATTAAATTGTTTGAATCTTCCATATATGTGCGTGGTTCTGATAAAAGTGGGATTCCTTGAGAGTGAGGTTGGTACTAACAGTGTCAATGAAGCTGATAACCTTCTTACTCTTCCAGTGGACTATGTCCCCTGTGTTAGTTGTGAAGCCACTCGATTATGACGGTAGTTGGGAAAGGATGATGCCCGTGACTTTTTAAATGGGACCAATAGATCGAGTATGTTGAAATTCTGCACTATTCTATAGTATTCATATATATAAAGCATGCATTAGGTAAATAAAATCTGTTTGTGGGATAAATTTGTCAAAACAATTATTATGATTTATTGTTGGTAATAAGCTTGTTGTCACATCATGTATAAACTTTCCAGCCTAGTGTTCCGTCTTATTCTTAACTCCATCCACAACATAGGTCGTGGATTAAATTTGAGGTTAGCAACACAACACTGAACAGGCACCCCCACGCCATAGTCTGACCTACCGGCAACGTACTCTGGTCCATGTAATCTACCTGCCTAGTCCCTTTTAAATAAATTTCAATGTACTAAAAATCAGCATGGCTTGATAATGCATCATTAATAGAAGACATTAGACACATGGATAACCACACATTAGTGCTGTGTGGGGCCTTTTCGATCATCTATGGCTAGAATGATTGAGCCCTGGAAAGGTCTATGCTGCTGAAATTTTGAAATAGCTATTGATTGATTCACATGTAGAGAAATTATGCTCACTTAGACCATATAAAATTAATCAGCATTATTGTTGCACAAGAAGATAAAAAGTTATATTATATGGTTTGATAGTTGTTTGCCCTCTCTTTTCTGTATTAGACTATTATTAATTTAAATAATAATAAGAAGAAGAAAATAAATATTTTTCAAATACTGCAGTCAGGATGTTGCAAACCTCCCACTGTTTGCGGATACAATTATGTGAGCCCGATATTGTGGACAAACCCTGTGAATCCAATGGGTGATCCAGATTGCCAATTGTGGAACAATGACCAGAGTCAGCTATGCTATAGCTGCAATGCTTGCAAGGCTGGTTTACTTGGGAACCTCAGAAAAGAATGGAGGAAAGCAAATATCATTCTTATTGTAGCTGTGGTGGTTCTTATATGGGTCTATATCATTGCTTGTAGCGCCTTCAGGAATGCCCAAACAGAAGACCTCTTCAACCGTTACAAACAGGGTTGGGTTTGATCTTTGTTCCCTCCCAGCACTTTCAAGTTTTTAAGATCCTTCTTTCTCGTCCCTGTTAGAGTATCTTCTTTAGTGTATATATTCCTTTTTCTGTTTTCTTTCTTGGCGTTATTGGAAGTAATGCGAGACAAATAATTTGATACCAGTCTCATTGCTCAGGGAAACCTGAGAGTAGAATATTCCAATTACCTTTCCTCTCAGCGAGCCATTACATTAATTCTATATTCGTTTGTTATTGCGTTTTTCTTTTAAAAAAATATTGGTACATCATGCAGCAATCCACAATCTTAACCTACATGCATTCACACTTTCAAGTTTTTTAATACTTAATTTGGTAAATGACAAAACTAAATGGGGCACCGACACCACCCATTGTAAAGAAATGAGTGCTTCTGAATTTTGATGGCCCGAGATCTCTCATCGAAGGACGCATAAATATATCTACTATTGTAAGTAGTAGTAGTTTTCTTTGCATGATTGCTAGTACAATACAGCTTTATTTGTATCTTTTAGTATTTCCATTAAGTGAAACGAAAGAACATAAGAGGACAAAAAAGACTTATTTAAAATTGTAAATGTGTAATGACTTCTTTAAATTTTATACAGAACCTTCAATAAGATTATTTTGAAATGGAAAGAAATTTAGTTTATATAAATTCAACAGTTTTCGTCGTCTTCATCTCTGCTATACAAGAGTGCACGATGAATGAATTTTGAAGACTTCCATGAAATTCTGAAACGCTGCCGAACATGTAGAGATTAGAGGAAATGGAGATCACCCTTATAGTACGTAAATAACTCATTTTTCAAATATATTTAAATATAAAAAATTAAAAAAAACAAAGAGCCTCATATGCAACATGCACGTGAAATAATACCTAGATAGCACTTTTATTTACTTCTCTTCCCTTTAAAAGGACTCCAAGACTACTCCAATGTTTTGTTTGGATTCAAGGGTGAAATAGAGAAGAATAAAATTTAAATGAAATATAATGTTTGGATAAATTAAAATGTAGAAGAAAATAGTACACTTAAAAGATTAATTTATCTTACAAAACTCTTGGGATCCACTGCAGTGACGAGGAATGATCGATGGTTGCTAGAGTTAAAATTCTACAAAATAATAACTTTCGTCAAAGGCGTCCAATCCAAGCTAATTTGCTCTAGGAAAACAATACTCTTCTATAAGAGTGTCTACGGTTCAATTTCATTTGGTTTCTAGAGAGCCAAAAATTAAAACAATAATCAAAATGAACCAGTTCGGTGTTACAAATCTTTCTTCTCAGACTTGAATTTTATGAAGAAATTTGTGAGGATAAAGAATGTAAAAGTATCTGTATTGTTAAGACAGAACAGAGCCCAGCCCAACACAAATGAAGTAATGGTAGGCTTTAAAAAACCACCAAATATAAGGGAGCCAACAAAACCATAAAAACACTACCAAATAATATATCTTCACCATTAATTATGACCAAACAAACACCCTTCCAGATTTAGAGACACCCACCTATACAGCAGTATCTTCACTCTATTGTACTCGTTAACACGTCTTCGTTGACCAAACTCTCCTGTACTTCGTGTCTTAATTGGAAATTATATTTTGACACTCAAGTAAGAAGTGTGATTTGGGGGGGGGGGGGGGGGGGGGGGAATGAGAAAAACAATAAATAAATAATTTAATAGACAACATAACGTAAAAAAGAAAAAATGTGCATAAATTAATCAAATATAAAAAAATATTCTAAAAATATTATTACTGTAATTAACTTTTCATGAATACTAATGTCTAGTTGGGACTCGTAGTAAAATATATTTCCAGCCCTACACGCACATCTTTCGTCATGTGATGATGACAATGACGAAAAAGAAATATAACTAATCACAAAACCAAGCTTCTATTCCAAGGAAGAAATGGAAGAAAATTGTGATAATAATAATGTCAAAGACCACTAGTTATGAAATGTGTGTGATGTTATGTTCGAGGAAACTCAAAGTCCATGGGAAACCAATTTTAGTTTGCACTATGGGAAATTTACAGGACCTTAGCAAAAAATTGACTTCAGGCTAGGGGTATTCATGGATTGAATTTTTAAAAAACCAATCTAAATTCATTTATAATCTAATTATATAGATTGAATTATAAACCAATCTATTTTAATTTTTTTAAAACCGGTTTAAATTTGGTTTTAAAATTTGAATTTGGTTTAAAACCAGTTTTAAACTATTTTACATATATTAAAAATATACTATAATTTTTTTATATTATTATTATATTAAAACATATTTAAATTTTATAATAAATAAAATAACATTATGTTTATATATATATATATATATATATTTGTTAAACATCAATATTTATTAAAAATAAAATATAAATACAATAGGTACTTTAATCTATTACATTTCTAAAAAAAATTAACAATACATGTCAAAAAAATATTCACGTATATTTTAATTTATTAATAATATTTTTAATATTTTATTAAAGTAATAAATAGTTAGATATATTCTAGTTTTTATCATCTATTCATCATACAAATTAATTATATAAATTAAATTTTAAACTATTTTATTTTATTTTATTTTTTTAATTAGTTCAAAAATAATTTTAAATTTTAAATTTAATTTTTATTGAAACTAGTTTTAAATTTAATTTTTAACGTAAAACTGATTTTCAATACATTTATAAATTTTATTTTTAAGATAAAACTAATTTGTTATATAAAACATTGTATTAAATCAGTACATTTCAAAAAAATTTGAACAATATTTATCAATATATTATATTTTATAGAAGTGTATAAAATATTTATTATTATTTTTAATTTATTTTTAATAAATAAAGTTTATAGTGAAAGTTTAAATTAAAACCTATAAAAATAAAAATTAATAATATAAATAATAATAAAATTATTATAATATTTTAAAAATTAAAAAGTAAACATAAATATAAAAAAAGTAGTATTTAAAAATATTTTTTATATTTTAATATCTTTAATTATTTTGAATATTTTAATTTTAATTATAAGAATTAATAAAAAAAATATTAGTGGTAAAATATAGTTATAATAAAATTTTGTAAACTAATATAACACAGAAATTTAATAAATAAATATATAACGTAATAGTTTTATACATATACATATAGATTTGGATAACTAAAAAAAAATCTAGTTTTAGAAAATGGATTTGGATACTAAACCAGTTATATAAATATAGTTAATAAAAAAACCAGTTTAATATGAATCTAGATTTTTAAAACTAATTTAATATTAGTTATAGATTGGATTTGTAAAATCAGATTTTTTGAACACCCCTACTTTAGGCAACATAGCTAGCGAAGCTGATTAACACAACAATTAAAAACATACATAAATATGAAGAGTAGTTTCATTAATCTTTCAACCTTCCAATTTTAAAGTGGACAAAATTTATCTGCAATTTTTTAAATGTTTTATGTTATTTTTAATCAAAATTAAAATTAAAGAAATAAGAAAGTTAAAAAAAAAAAAAACCTCCATTCAATTGTTATTATATTAATCTAAAAAAATTAGCTTACAAAATAAAATGTTTTACAAATCTTAAACATCATCATATGATTGTTTAAATTATTAAAAGTTCTAAAATGTCATCTATTTGTATTTACGAAAGACCAAATTTAGGTTAAAAGTTTCAAACATGACTAATCAGTTTTAGAATATGAAACTTAGAATGGAATATCATGATTTGTGAATATAACTATTTTATTATTATACTAAAAAATTCGTACTAACCTTTAAATTTTGATATACAATGCTGAGTCGCTAACAAAATAATTAAGTTTCTTTAAAAAAATTGCAGTATAGAGCTCAATCTAAGTTGATTCATAGAGACACATTTTCTATTAAATTTAATTTTAGATTTTTTAAAGAATGAAAATAAGGTTTGGACATAACACCTTAATTAATTTCAAAATAATCATTTTTAAATAAATTATATTTTTGCAAATTAGAAAGAAGATAATAATGAAATTTCCTTTCAAATAACTTCAAATACATCGTTTCAATAAAGTATTTCAAAATATAAAATGAGTTACAAGTTTGAAATCAAACTAAATGCTACAAGACCTATCTAGTACACCACAAGTTTTAAAATGATTTTCTAAGTCCTATAGTAGTATCATTCATTCCTTCACTGAGCTTGATGCTGATAGTCTTAGTCACCTGAAAAATAAATGTAAGGATAAGTCCTCTACACTATTACACACACAAACATTGAGACTTACCTTGTCTATTTCATAACAGTTCCTAATATAACAAAATTACACTTTAAATGAGCATCAATTTATTCTTTCTAATAACATACACTCATATTTGCACATCAATTCATACACAAGTGTGCTCACTGCACCTTCAATCATTCCACACATCCACATGCGCTTACTACACGTTAGTCACGCTCAATGTGACACTGTGATCACAGTTTCCTAACGTCTTCAACCTCAAAGACTTATTCAGTTTCATACCATAGATGCTCGTCGGTTAGCCCCCGCTTCATGGATACAACGTGTGCAGTCACGGGCCCCTTAGTAAAAATATTGTTCAGAGGCCGAGTTAGGAGAAGATTGTGTAGCCTGTGGTGCACCCACACTTACCATTAGTGTTATCATCACCCTCTTTTTCTCAGAATATTTCTATTGTCTCCATTTTGTACACCCCAAGTGTATTGCTGTAACCATTCATAGTTTCAACCAATTTCAAACATGTCTCAATCACAATCAACAAGTCTTTCACACATATTCTACCACATTTTTATCACACACATTCACTCCTCAATGTCAATCACGCTATACTCCACACAATATTTTCATCACAACCTATTGTAATCAAATCATTTTCATCAAAACACACATCTTTCTACGTTCTATATCAATCACATTCCAATACATAACAATACAAACGAATTCTAACACCAAAAGATAGGGTAGAGTCCCTTTTACCTCAGAATGAAGACCTACTACAAAATCGATGGTAGAACTGCTCCCTATACAGATTTTCTTCCTAAATACTTGGAAAACATCATAAGAAACCAAGGAGAATGAAGAGAGGGTGAAAACAAAAACCCTAACTCATAAAATTTATCTCCAAACACCCAAAACATTATCACAATCTTCAATTTAGGGTACAAACGGTCTTAGAGGAAATTTAATCAGTGAAATAGGGTGAATTGTTGAAAGAATCGAAAGAGAGTTTAAGGGAAAGAGTGAGAAATGTGTTTCCTGAACCCTAAACCCCTCCAATATCCCAAGAGTTGCGATATTCTTGTTACAACGAGACATCTCTCATTACAACGAGACCCCTTCTCGCTACATGAAAATATTAGACAAAATTGCTCTTTGTTTTCTGCATAATCTCGCTACAATGAGATCCTCTCACTACAGCGAGACTATACCTAGAAAACTACCCCTTCATCACCTGCACCCTTCTCGCTACAGCGAGAGACACACGAGTTTGCCTAGGACCTTATCGCTACAGCGAGAATCCTCTCGCTTTAGCGAGAATGGCCCTACAACACAACTTCAGCCTATATTTTCAACCAATTCAGTCCAACCATAAGTCAACATTCACATTTTAAATCACTACACACATACATACTTATATGTTTATATATATATATATATATATATATATATACACAGACACATACACACACACATTCACATTATCACATAAATCAAAACGTACATTCAAATAACAATCTACGTACTTATATTAATAATCAAAACGGGTTACAAAACTTGGACCATTACATTAGGAGTTTGAAAATTTTGAATTAATTAAATCAAGATTACGAATGAAATTAAATTCAGTAAAAATAAATTAAGAAATATCAATCCACATAACCTTAAATGCATGTAATTTCAATTATCACAGTATTAATTTGAGTTTGAACAATTACTCAATTCAATTATTAATTCAATCAAATAACCTAATTAAACTAGATAACAAATTAAATCAAATTATCATTTAACCTAATTTAAATTAATTATCAAATTAGAATATCAATCAAATCTTAATTTGAATTCTAACCACATAAAAATTAATTACGATCGCAATATACAAATTTGAGACAAGAGAAAAAGAGAATAAATTTAGAGCAATTTGGCCCAAAACTCAAATTGAATTGACATTATCTGAATTCCGTGGATTAAACGGGAAGTTTAGCCTTCCATCGAAGCACTTAACCTAAGCGAGAATGAGAGAATTTGAGAGAAAGTAAAAATAATGATTCTTATTAACAGGAAAATCTAAAAAACTCAAAGTGTCTAATCGCACATCCTAATTCGGAACCTTATTAGTCTATTTATAGGTTATAATTAGGGTAAATTAAGTGACCAAAATTTAGGCCTCAATAATATCTAAAATCTCAAGTACAATTATAAATCCAGCGATCTATATATATATTTTGAAGTTCTTGATGTGTAGGATCCAATGCAACTATAATCAGCTAAAAACGATATTTATATAAAAGTTATGACCAAAAAAGTTGTCAGAGGTCAGAATAACAAAAAATATAAAATTAAAATATTTATTTGCAACAAACTTAATTTATTCAAATAACTAAAAAATAATAAAAACACTAAAAATAAAGTATATAAAAAAATGTTTATAAATCAAAATAAAACTATAAATATAAATTTAAAATATATTACATCAAACTCCAACTTACACCAACCCTTGACAATTAAGATATTAATTATTAAGTTCATGAATCATTTTGGACTATCCTAAGTATATGATAAAGTGGACCAAATACGTCTACGATCATGGATTACTTATTTTATTATTACTATTATTCATATTCAAATGTTAACTGTAGTCTTAAAGATAAAAATTTGAAAGCAAAATTTTATTAAAAATAATATTAACATACCTTAAAATTAGTTTAAGAGATAAATTAATGATATTTTAAATAAAAATATATTTATATTTTAAATTTCAATTAGTATTTTAACATTTGACAATTTTTCCTTAAGTTAACGTATATCTCTTGTAGAGGTGATTCATTTCTGTTTTTTCAGATTTTTGAGGGAAGAAAATGATATTTTATTTCAGGACAGGAAAGCTATTGAGTTCCAAAAGCATTTATAAATAACTTACATTTACTTTATTAAATATATATATATTATAGACATGAAAATAGATTTCAGATTAAGTTGTTTTTTTTTTACATAATTTTTAGATTGAGTTTGTATTCATATGAAGTTTATTTTTTCAGATTATGCGATTTCATCTTCTGAATGTCTAAAATTCCCAAAAGAAATAAAAATAATCACCTTTTATTACCGTGAACTTCTACGGCAATATTGAATATTAGGTAGGTAATAGTCTTCGACTCTTTGTTTTTATTATGGGTAATTAATTAGTAATATTTTGTATTCATTCAAACTGTAAGATCTACGAAATATCGCTTGATGTGTATCTATCTGAAAGAAGATTCACGTCGAAGGACTTATTGAATAGTCGTAACTAGAAAATTTTGTATGGTTTAGACAAATGCAATAATCCTCTAAACTGAGTCTTTGTTGGTCTCTTAATTTAACATATCAATATCGCCCTATTTAATAAGATTGAATGTGTCACCTCCTTAGTAGAACTCTTGATATTCTCTTTATTGGACAATGCTTAATGTGCATGTGCTAATGTAAAATAAAAATTATACTATTTTTTATTCAATGATAAAAAAAATAATTGTTAATGTCCAGTGCATGTACTAAGATATACTTTTAGATAAAGTCGTACTATCAATCAGGGGAACTTTAAAAATATTAATCTTGTCCAAATAGCTTTATTGGGATTAACGTTTGATTCCATCGTGTAAGTACATGAATACTTCCTCTAAGATTTCTTCAATTACTATACGAAATATATGTCAACTCCACTTAATTAAATTCAAAAAACTTTTAAAATATCAAATGATATTTTAGTACATCACAAACATAAATAATTTGTTTTTATCTTTTAACTCGTTGAACTGTACACCAAATGCATACGATAAAAACATTATTAGTACATTGAATTTTATCCATTTTAACTTTGAAAATTGATTTTAAATTTATAAAATTTTAATATAATAAATATTTTATAAAATAATATTAACTTAATAAATTAAAATTGTCTTTAAAAACCGAAGGTGTTAACATTTTCTTGAATACTATATTAATCGTAAGTTTATTCGGATAATCACCTGTTCCTGTCGTTTTCATGAGCACTTCCTCTAAGATTTCTTTACAGCTTTTAACTCAACACATGGAATGAGTGGAAGCTCCACTCAACCGAGTCAACAGTGAGTTAAATGCATGTGGTAAACGCATTGGAGTGGCACGTCCTTCGTCAACATCACAATATATAGTTTTTTAATTCAAAGGGAGATTCACAGTAGATGTCGTAAAGAAGGACAAAAAAACAAATAAAAAAATAGAAAAATGAGAAAATTATATCAAATTTGTGTACTCAGAATTCGCATTATGCATAGTATAACATATTTTCATAATCTCTCATTTTTAATTTACAATATGACAATCATATTAATTGTCAAAAATATTTGAATCACAACCACTATTAATTTTTTTAATAATGCACCAATATATATTTAAGCTCTGATGCACCAATGTGATTTTAATATAAAATTTTCTATTAAAATCATTTTAATATTATAATTAATATTTTCATTTTTCCATTGTTAAACAGCAATAAGAAATAATCGCTACAAACGAGAAAGTTGTTTGCATTATTTGATAGTCGGATCATAAACCATTTAATATTATTAATTAATGATATCTCATCAATATTGTTCAATCAAACAGGCTAGGAACAAAATTATTGTAGGATATCATAAAAGAATAATAAATATTACGCATAGTAATGAAAAAATACGATAAAATCCACATTAAAATTATTTGAATGCAATAAATGACGATAAAAAATCAAGAAATAAAAATGTAAAAAAAAATGGTCAAAATCAAACCCAAAGACGATCATATTCCTATATGAGAATTAACAATCAATGAAATGAGAATTGAAAACCAATAAAAAGAATTATCTAGTTTAAATTTATTATAAATTTTGATTGTTTTTTCTATTTCTAAACTTGTGTTATTTTTAAAATTTAGGACCTAAATGTGTTTACATTTTTTTTGGGTCTCTCAATGGTGATTGGTATCCCCATTTAATAATCATAATATTTGGCATATTTATTTGATGCGAGGGGTGTGTGTAACCTCTCCTTGTCGGTAGCAAAAGGATCGGAATCGCACAATCATTATAATTGATTGATGAATGAATGAATGAATGAATGAATGAATGAATGAGATGAGATCCAGTGATCCACCACCCTCCTTCTATAAATAAAGCCAACAACCACTCTTCAATCTTCACTCTCATAAAAATGGATCCACCCAGATTCGTAATAGAAGCATCCTCGGCCCAATCCATGGCCCAATCCTCCGCCCTCACCCTCCCCCAACTCCTCCCCACCCTCGTCCCCGCCGCCCAATCCCTCGCCCGCCCCCCAATCTCCAACTTTGCCGTCGCCGCCGTCGGACTCGGCTCCTCCGGCCGCATCTTCGTCGGCGTCAACCTGGAGTTCCCAGGCCTCCCTCTCCACCACGCCGTCCACGCCGAACAATTCCTCCTCACCAACCTCTCCCTCAATGCGGAACCCCACCTACTCTCCCTCGCCGTCTCCGCCGCTCCCTGCGGCCACTGCCGGCAATTCCTCCAAGAACTCCGCTCTGCCAACGACACGCAACTTCTCATTACATCCGAACCCACACAACAATTCACTCCTCTCTCTCACTTCCTCCCCCACCCATTCAGACCCCACGACCTTCTCCCCCTTCACTCTCCACTCCTCTTGGAACCCCATCACAACGCTTTAACGCTTCATCCCCATTCCCCGTCCAATAATATTAACGCCGTTTCTTCCAACGGCCACGTGGCAACTCACAAGCTCAAGATTGCGGCTCTTGAAGCCGCTAACGAATCCCACGCGCCATACAGTGGGTCCCCCTCTGGCGTGGCTTTGGAAGATCGCCGTGGCAACATCTACAAAGGGTCTTACGTGGAATCGGCGGCGTTTAACCCAAGCTTGGGACCCGTGCAGGCGGCGCTGGTGGCGTTTGTTGCCGGCGGCGGAGGGGACTACGAAGAGATTGTGTGTGCAGTGTTGGTGGAGAAGGAAGGTGCTGTCGTTAAACAGGAACACACTGCGAGGTTGTTGCTTCAATCCATTTCGCCCAATTGCCCCTTCACCACGTTCCTTTCCTCCTCTCTCTCTCACCCTTCGCTACCCTAAATCTGATGGTCATGCCATGGATATGTCGACTCATGAATCATATCATGGATGCTCTTTTGTGGTTCCAAATTTCCAATATTATAATCAAACTGTTTAATCCTCGTCTACGTCTTTATCCGACTAATATATATATATATATGTTTTCAAGTGTTTTTTAGTTCAAATCGATCAGATTCACATCTTTGATCTTCTTTTTAGTAATTTTTTTATATAAACGACGAGTACATCTCACATGTGCTGACATATAAGTTCCTAATTATGTCGTATTTTTAACATTGTGGATTACTGTTTTTTTTGTTTTATTGATTCTTCAATCACACTTTTTTAAGCTTTTCTTTGGCAATGAAATATTTAAAACAATTATGCTATTTAAATCATTAAAAATTAATGTTTTTTATAATAAAATTAATATTATGTTTAGTATCATATTATATATATATATATATATTACAAAAGAGTATACGTAAAAATAATATAAATTTATTTCAAACGTAACTCTTCAGGAAATACAACTGTCATTGCGGTCATAACCATAGAAGACTCGCGTAAAGCCAACTCTGATATTCTTTTGTTAGGTTACCTACTTATGTTCATATCAAACTAATTAAACAAAAGAAGTTGCGACTTTGATTTAGCAATTAGTCAAATCAAATGCTTTGCTAAAACAGAATAATTTATAAACATATCAGTATGTGTATATACATGTAAAGAGTGAGAACGAATAATAAGAAAAGTAATAGACGTAATAAGAAAAGAAAAATAGATCATGAGAGATGTTGATATTTTTTTAGAGCATTTATAAATTAAAAATATTTTGCTGATTCCACAAAACAGCGTAGCTGCATATGAGTTACGCAAAAAACAAGGCCAGGGATGAATTTCTTTAATTTAAACCCTTTTAAATGGCACTCTTGCGAAATATTTGATATCAGTGTCATCCTCTCAAAAGCATGCATGGTGTTTTATCCTCTATATGGGGCATCCACGTACGTCTTTGTATTGGGGGCTGGTGGAGTATGATTTAGTAGATCACCCTCTAACATTGGAACCATTTTAAGACCCCTTAAGCTTAATGAAAGAGCGTCAAAACCCCCATGTCATAGAATGAATAATTTCGTAGAAGTTCCCATGGTTCGTTCATTCACATCGAACCCAACTTTTTCTCTTATAAAGTGTACTTCTTTTATGGGCCTACTATGATGGCACAATATATGTGAAAATCAAAGTGGAAAGGTTGTGCATGTTTATCTGCTACCTACAAAATAGTTCTTAACAGGGGGCAGTTTTTTCAATGAACTGCCTACTGCCCCCACCTAAGCCACTTTTAATAGTGCCAAAATTAGCATTGTATGATGCCAAACTTGCTCTTGAATAGGTGAAGGGTCGAGTTTCTTTAACCATGTAATACTTTTACATGTGTGGACGGGCCACAAGAGTTTCAATTAGGACGCAACTGTTAGAATCAGGAAATCACTGTCTTTAGAAAATTACAAAATGCTTTGAATCACCATCAGGCCATTTTAATTCTTATTTTGGCCGCTACAAAGGAAAATCATATTCTCAATTACCCACACGCAGCTGCATTAAAAGTTTGAACCAAGAAAAAAGAATAAAGAATATACACTGAGAGACTAGATTCTAAGACAGAAAATGTTTTATGTACAGCTTTTGGGATGATTTTTTTTAATTATATTTTTAAAATATATCATAAAAAATAACATATATATAATACCATATAATGTCAATTTTTAATTGTCCAAATAAAAAAAATATTATAAAAGAAAAAAAAAACATATATATATAGTCCCTAAAAATTGTGACAAATATGTATCTCGAGGTGGGACAGTTCTGAATGCAACACAGAGACAAGTTAAAGAAAAGGACAAGAGATATATATTTCATTATTTCTTGTAACGTGCCATGCTTCTTCATGACTTCATCCATGGTGAACAGATACTCTGTCTCTATGATTACAGCATGGACCAACACAATCATTAGCCTAACACAGACACCTACTGTCACATTATACGTTACAATGTTACATTGGTGAGGATAGGAGCAACTATATGATGTCCGACAAAAAACTATTATAGCCAACAAATGCTCAAAGTAGGGAAGAGGAAGATCATTCTTGGGAAAAAATAAAAAATAAAAAAACGGATGAGGAATATCTTCAACACATTTTTCTGACTTTTTTAAAAAAAATTCCAAATACACTCTTTATAATTATAATTAAGAGAATTTTTATTCAATAAGTAGTGAACTTAAATTTTTAAATGAGATTCACAAAATTCACCAATATATTTTTTACTAAAATAATGTCAAGTTTAATCCATGCTGAGTATAGAATATTGGCACTGTCACTACAAGAAAAAAAAAGTACGAAGACACTAAATAATGTTAACCAAACATTACTCAAAAAGATATTATTATTCCTTTTATATCTTTTATAAATTTTTATAATAAAAAATAGAAAAAGAGAAAAAAATGTAAAATAAAATAATGATGTAATTAAAAAAATTTAAGTATATTGAAAAAATAATTATTCTTACTCAAATAATATAATATATCAACCTGCCATTTCTGGTTGGTTGACAAGTCTGTACCTTTCTTTAGAATCCAAATGTATGAATTGCTGACCTCTCATTTTTGTGGTACAGAATACAGATTGTGAAATCAACCCTCAAACATGATGTTAAAAGAGAGCAGCTGTAATTTGATTTCATCGTAATAATAGATGATCCTTCTACAAACACGTGATGCACATGTTAAGAGTAGACAAGTACGAGTAAATTAATGTATGATGGTTATCATTTACATAACAGTAATTAAACAATTTGTACCAGCATAAATATAGCAAACATTTTGGTCCATTATATGATAATAAAAAACTTTAATTTTAATCACTATCAATGTATATATGTTTTTGTATTGTATCGTACATTTATATTTGATCAGGTATAAGTATCTTATTACTGTGGCTTAATTAATATTTGACATATGTGTTCTATTAATCTCTATTAATATTAGACCCTGGACCAAAACCTGTGAAAATAGAAAGGACAATGGAGTCCAGAAGCACTAAAATACTAATGAAATGATAGGGTTTTAAAAGCAGTTACTTTCCGTGTAGTATGTCTTTTATCTTATGAAGGTTATGGAATGGCAAATACATATTTATATGGAAATGGAATATGAGTGAGAAAGAAAAAGAGATTGGAAAGGTTCTGATATGGTAAAATTTTGGAGATCCATACAAGCACATCAAATATTAATTGATCCATATAATCAGGAAGATGTTTACAAGGATCATTGCGTAAAAAAACTGTTTTACATAGATATATTTGAAAATAATTAGTGACAGACTCGCATGAAATAGTAATTGATCCATACAAGCAAGAAATCCAAACCCATTCAAATGCGAATATACTACAGTAATCACCCTAGTTTGGGATCTGGATCTTCTGCAATTTTAATGAAAAATGCTCCTTGTAGTATATTTTTATTTAAGCAAATTTTATTTTGTTTAAGCGTATTTAACAAAAAATAATTTTGGCTCAAATAAAAAAAAATTGCTTAAGTGAACTTAGTAAAAAAGTAATTTTTGCTTAATACAAAATTACAAAAAATTTCAAAACTTTATCTTCTTCCTCTATAAATCATAGAAAATTCAAGAAATTTTTGTGCAAAATCATGTGGTCACACTTTATGATCATACAATAAATACTTAAGTGTTTCAAAACATATAATATCACAATTATTTCTCAATCAATTTCTCAAAATTATCATTTCTATAATCTTTATCATTATTCTCAACAATTTAACTTGATTCTAAATTGTTCTACCTCACTAATGTTTAGTTCAAATAGTACACTAGACAATATATTTAGAAATATTTGTACAAGATCATGTAATCACACTTTATAGTCATAATACAAAAATAAGTGTTTTAAACATGTAATAATGCAACTATCTCTCAATCAATTTCTTAAAGTTATCATTCCTATAATTCTTATTACCATTCTCAACAATTTAACTTGATTTCAAGTTATTCTATCTCATTTATGTTTAGCACAAGTAACACACTAGACAATATATTTAAAATATTCAGTGAGATAAATATGTAAGAGTTTTTAATAACTAAGTAGTCATTAGTGAGAAATAAAAATTTCTTGAATTTTTTGGCTTAAATGAAAAATACTTTTTTACTAAATTCACTTAAACGAATTTTTTTTGTTTAAACCAAAATTACTTTTTGTTAAATTCATTTAAGAAAATGCAGGGCGCAATTTCTGCCAAAACTGCAGAGGATCCAAATCTCTTAGTTTGTCATTTTAACAACTGTCGTAATTATTGAGTAATTAATTTAGTTTTTAACACTAAAAATTAAATTGATTAATAATTGTCAAAGTTAGGAATCAGGTTAATTAACTTAATAATTTAAGAATTGAACTAATCAATAATACTAATTCTAAAGACCAAATGGGATGCTAGTTGTGAAAGTTGAGGTGAAATTGACCAATACTATCAATTTCTAAATTGATGTTTTACATTAAACTTCACATAACTTTGGACCTGATTGTACTTAAGAAACATATTGTACGGTAATGACTTTGATAATAACTCTTTATATTCCGTAACAATTCATCAACCTTTCTATGTTAAACCATCTACTCGGCAATCAATGCAATCGAACCTAAGTCATGTCATGCACTTTACGTCCGAGATCTGCATTCCAAGTTATGAAATATTTAACTGAACTAGAAAGTATGTTCTATTGTTCGGTGAGATGCTAAAATTAGAAACAATATTGTTGAACAAATGCCAAAGTTGAACACATGATTCTTAGTCTCACAACTCTCAACCAAGAATGGCTCAACAGCCTTACATGTTGGGAGACAATAACGAGCTTTACACTCATTTTAATTGCTAAAAAAAATATGGGGTATTGTAATATTGTCAAATAGTGCTCCCAAAAGAGGAAGGGACGGCACCTGAAAAATAGCTAAAAATAAAAATACCATGCGTGTGCATCTAACTATTAGAGACGAGTTAAACTTAATCACGATAAGATGACAAAAAAATCAGCTAAAGTGATCTGGATATGAATAAAGTAGGCCACTAAAGACTAACCCTGTGAGTAAAAAGAACTAAAAATGAACCTTAAAAAAATTTATAAGAGATTTCATGATAAATAATACAATCCTGCCTAACTGAACTGTTCTCTCATTTTCTATTTGGTGACTAGCATGGAAATACATGTGTGGTTGGAAAACAACACGGATGATGTATGGTGGAAACAAACATACGATTCTGTAATAATTCAAATGAGTAAAGAGAAATCGATTCTCGGGCTAAAGTAGCTATAATTGAATTGAAGTTTTACACATTCTTGTTTAGCTACCAGAGCTTCGCCTATTCTGGAATAAAGACAGAACTGACTGAATTTTAAACTTAATAAAGACAATAGCAGTGATATACAAATGAAGTTATGAGACGAATATACGAATTGTGAGATTAAAAGAATTGAAAGAGGAAACAGTTTTGGGTTCAAATCCATCGATCCTTGTTTGTAGGTAATCTGTAACTAGAGATCCAAATGGGGATCTCACTCTATCTCAAGTAACATTAAATTCCTGTGATTCTATATTACTTACAGACCCAAAATAACATTTTTTTAAAGCTAAGCTTTCCCTCTACCTATGCAGCTCATTTCAAACAAAATTGGAACCAAATAGATAGGAGTACCTTTATTACAGATACTAATTCAGGGATCATACGCAATTCTGCATGTTCCTATTTCTGACCTGAGCATCTCACCCGTAGAACACATTTTCATGCAGCTCAACGATCAAATATTCTAGTGCTCCATAACTTCAACAATGTCAAACAACAAGATCTCACTTAGTTTTATGCACCAGGAAGAAGCACAGACTCTGCAAATGAGGCAGAGCCATTGTTAGGTGCTCCCTTTATCTTAAGAATAGAAGTAATCAAATTATAAATCTGAACATTCTCGAATGAAGGTATCTTCCTCCCTCTAGCAAACTGAGGACCGTGTCCAATGAAAATGGTCCTCATGGAGAAAATTGCATTGTCATAACCATGTGAACCGCCACACTCTTGGCGCTTTGTTTTCTTCTGCTCAACCTTAAAACCTTCTTCAAGCAAACCAATTATCGGTGGAATCCGGTCGCTTGCTGCATAATGAAGCCGGCTAGGCAGATCCTCCTTCAAATACACCCTCAAGTTCTTCCCATTCTCAACTTTCCCTGAGCTCAATCCTTCATTCATCTTAGCAACAACATCTGAAGGAGCAAAACCAGGAGGTGGACGAATTGCAAGCACAGGACTATGTGTCAAGACCCAATCTTTCGGAACATCAATCCAAGGACCCAAATCATCAAGAAAAATCAACTTCTTATCACATGTACCAACCATTCCATGATCACCAACCATGATAATACTAACATCCTCAAAAATCCCTCTTTGCTCCAAACCCTTAATCAACCTCCCCATCATGCTATCAATCCTAGCAACAGCCTCAGTGATCTCAGGATCATCAGCACCAACACGATGACCCTGATGATCAGGGTCCTCAAAATAAAGTGTCATAAAATCAGGAATTTCATCACTTGGCAAATCAAAATAGTTCAAAACTGAATCGACCCTTTCCTCAAAAGAAACAGAACCATTATAATGCCTACAATAATTAACAGGACAAGTCCAAGGACCCTTCTTTACCTCAGAACCAGGCCAGAAATAGGTAGCAGCCTTCAACCCATTATTGACCACAGTCTCCCAAAGGGGTTCCCCAAGCCACCACTTGGGATCATGGCTACCCATGTAAAACGCTTCCCCAGAATGTGGATCCAAAAAATGGTTATTGATTATGCCATGATATGCAGGGTAGAGCCCAGTAACAATGGAATAATGATTGGGGAAAGTAAGAGATGGAAAAACCGGAATCAAACCGGTTTCAGCTTCGGTTCCATTTGCGATCAAACGAGCAATGTTGGGTGTGAAGGTCTTGAATTGGTACCCGAATCGAAACCCATCTGAGGAAACCAGAAGAACCACGGGGCGTTTGAGTTTGGTGAGAGAACGAGCAAGAGAAGAAGGGGTGTGAGCAGTTGAAGTGGGTGGTGGCGGTGATGATGAGGAAGAGAAAAACAGAAAGGCGAAGGCAAAGGTTGCTGAGAGAGCAATGCAGGTGATTAGGATGAGAGAGAAGAAGAGGGCTTTGTGGGAAGAGGAAGAGGGAGAAGAAGAAGAAGAAGACGAGTCAGTGTTGAAAGAGAGAAGAGTCTGTGTTGATGAAGGTGAGTCTTGTTCTTCTCGGTCTTGTGTTGGTATTGGTGAAGGCTTTGTTGAAGTCAATGCAGAGAGAGGATTGGAACCCATGTTTTCTTTTTTTGGTGTTGCTGGTTCGTCTTCTTGTTGTTCCAAGGTTATGGATCAATGATGATGGATTTGGGTTTAGGAAGAGAGAGAGAGAAAGGGAACATGTTTAGGATGAACCAGTGAAGTTTGAGTGAGATCGAAGGATTAAAGATGGGTTGAGTAATTGAGTTGGGTTGGAGAAGGATCGCTGTCAAAGTCAAAGACAATGTTTATGGGGATTGGTCGTTGGTGGACTCATTGGAAGATGCCGAATACCAAAGGAAGAAGAAGATGCTGCAGCTGCCAATAGGTGACGTGGCACAACAAAGACAACTAATTTCATTTTTTTTATTATTTTAATTTTTAAATGCTCGAATTTTCATAATATTTATTTATGTCTTTTTTTAATTAATTTTATTTTTAAATCACAAAAATATGATTTTTTATAAAATTATAAATTTCAAAAAAATGTCGACTTTTGAAAAACTTGTCAGCAAATTTCAATACTTTTAAAATGTTTTATTATTATTTTAAAAATTATTGTGGATGAATTTTAATTTTTAATATTTTTTAAAAGATCGTTATTATTGATGATTTTTAATACTTTATAAATTTTTTATTTTTTAATTTAAATTTTTGTTCACTAAATTGCCAGATGTGCATTTTAAAATTCTAAATTTTTTTCACTTTTTTCAAAAATATTATATTTTTTCATATATTATTTCTAAATATCATATATAAAAACTAATTATTTATTTATCACTCTTTATTTTCACAAAGTATAGATATATTTTTTAAAAAAAATTTACCAACTATTCTTTATTTTTTAACTGTTCATTAATGTCACACTTAAGTTTATAATTAAAAAATAAGGAAAAAAATCAAGAATGAAAGAGAATAATCGATCTTTCATTTTGGATATAATAAATATTTATTATAATTTTATGTTTTTATATCCTTAAAGATTAACATTTGCTTTAACAAAATAAATTTTTAATTTTAGTTTTAGTTGTTTTTATTTTTTCAAATCATCATATCATAATATTAAATAAAGAACAATTTTATTCTGCACATTTTTGTAAACAGCAACATTAAATTTAATATTTAACAAATAAAGCTAATGAAAGGTGCATTTGGACAAGGTTTTTAATCTTGTGTGAAGTTGAAGCCTTGAAGGGAAGGGTACCTGTCAACCATGTTTTTTTGGCTTAATATTCATCAATGATCGTTCCCTTCAGTATAATCTGTATCTTTTGGACAGCTATTATACCTAATTAAGTATAACTTATATATACAGTAACTGGTTGCGGAAAAGTGATTTTTTTCTTCTTCTTTACTGCTTAACATTATTTTTTTTCTCTGCAAAATGCTTTATTTGTTTTCAGGAACTGCTAATTGAATTTAGGTGGCACTAAGCCAACTTAATTATTCCTCATTTTGGCAGTGTGAAGTGCAAGAAGATGAAAACGATTTGTTGTCTAATAACTTCATTATTTTCAATTATGTATATCGATGATATTAAACTAAATAGTTTCTTTCTTTTTTTTAGCTTTGATTAAGGTAATGATAAACAAAATTACATTTTGAAAATTAAAAAAGGCATTATGATTCGTTAAATTTAAATCTTTTAGGTACATTTCTTGTGCACAAATAATTGTTTTTGCAACGAACAAACTGATTATGCCTTGTTTTGTTTTACATGAATTGGCTTTATTTTCATCTTATTTACTCAAACACCAGTGCTTGACAGCACATGCAGAGTATTGATGTTTATTTATTTTAAATAATTTTGTTAACCTTAATCTTAAAATTAATTTTAAATATTCAAAAATAAATTTTATTAAAATAAATTTTTGTATAATAAATACTTTTAAAAATTACACAATTAATGGATATTAACATCTCCATTTATCAAGCTGCATGCAATGATCAAATTGAAATTACCGTTCCTTTTTTCACGAGGAAATTAACTTGTCATTATTTACTCTCCTTTGCTAATCGTTTTATGAGGACGAAAATATTATTTTTCATTTTAAACATAGATGATTTTAGAGAGTTTGTCACAATCATTTATATAATTATAAGTTATTTTTTAATAAAAATATTTTTAGTAAAAATGAGACAATTTATTAAGTAAAATAAAATAAAAGAATCGGTTCCAATACAAATAATAACAATAACTAAGTTATATTTCACTGATTAAAGTCGATTGCATGGATTATACGATAACATTAAGTTCTGTCAAAACAAAATGTTCCATTTATTTTAAAAAATATATCTAAATTATTCAATATCATTAATAAAGTTAACTGTAAAATAATTAAAATGATCATATATTTAAGACGAGATAATAATAAGATCTCAAGCCCTTCTTTCCTCAGCTTTCTGTCATTATCTAAGCTAATTGCAAACCTCTATTATTAATTGTTGGACTTGAGCAAATTCTTTTGGGGAGACCAGAAATTAATTGTCCCATCTCATGAACAGCATTGTAGGAGATGAGGATCATGGGAATATGGAACAAACTTTGAAGCAAAATGAAAGAAATAAAATATGAAACTCTACCTCAGGCCCTCATTTTATAGAAGAATGAAACATCACTTTGTACTCTCTAGCTAGCTAGCTAGGGCTTGTGCAACACTCTTCCAGCCAGTAGAGCGGCTTCCATCACAACATTAATAACTTCAATTACATCATCCAATTCACATGTGTTTCCCTTGAATGTAGGACCTTTTGAGTTCTTAAACTTTTTCATGCAGTTGATGAATGTTTGGCTGCACTCTTGACTTAGGTAGTCATCTGCATAACACCATCATTAATTTGCTAATTACTTTCATAACCATAACCATAGAAATGAATGTACGTCTTTAATTATATTCCCCTTCATTATTTTTCCAAATATCATTCTCTGAAATTCACTTTGCTCCTCTCATTTTCAATCAAAATGCTATTTCTTTATTTTTCCAACAGCTATATCTAACTAAATGGTTCAAGTTGAGTTTAAAAAGAACCAGAAGCATTATTAAAGAACCAAATTGAAGATGTAGCCTGAAAGGAACTTCACAATCCATCCTGTAAGATCCAACAGAATCTGAAACAGTACAACTATTCAAGCCATAGAATAAAATGTTTGAATCAAAGCATTAATGATGTGTAGAACTCACTGTTTTTGGCTTGCACACATTTATCATGATTCATACAACAAGCATCAAGGCCATCACAAGGTCTCTCCCCAGGGCACCCACTATACAAAAGTCCACAGTACTTGCCATACCTCAATAATGGAGGCACTGCCATTCCAAAGTTGCATTTTTGTTTGTCCCAGAAACATCATAAACAAATTAAAACCTTAATCCAATCAGCTAAATTTTCAATTGTAAAAAAAAAAAGGGGGAAATTATATTATTAGTACCTGAACAGAAGCTTGATTCACAATTTCTGCTACACTCTTTGCTCTGATCATGAGAAAAAAAAGGAGTCAGAGAAGAATTAGGCACTGTTTCTTTGTGTTAAATGTTAGAAATTGAAAATATGAAGGAAGAAGCAAACCACAGAGACAGTGATTCCAGTGGTTTCAACTCCAATGTTGAGGGCAGAGATGGGAATGAATAAGAAGTTGAGAACAAAGGTGCAAGAAAAGAAGAGGAGAGCATACTTGGGTGACAAGATTGGAACCATTTTTGTGGAAAGGAAAGCTAAGTAAATTGTGAGATTGATGTAAGTTTTTGAAGGTTTTGTTGGGTTTGCTTAAAGGCTCTGACTTGTATGAGAAGAGAAGCTAACAGAGAGAGGGTGAGGAGAGATGTTGGAATCCTGAACAAAATCTGTAGTTGGCAGAACTCAGAAACAAATATTGTTTTGGAGTAGCACGTGACTTTAATATCATTATTTTTTCTGGCCCTATTCTTGCTATAATTTGCCGCGTTAATTTTTTTTCCTTCTCTACCAAAAAATATAGAGAGAAATTTTCTCCCACGATTTTTTTTATAATTAAGAGAAAAAATGAACAATAAGATGAATAATGTAATAAAAAAATAAATTATTAAAAGTTTTATAAAAATAATATAACTTAATTTAAAGTGTATTTATTAAGATATCTTAACTAACAAAAAAGGTTATTGGGTAAAAATAACACTGTTGGATTAGTAATTTTTTAATTTTTAACTAATTTATTAACTAAACTTGTCAAACGCATTCTTAATAACCAGAAACCGTCGCGTTTCTTGCGTACTTTATGCACGTTTCTCTCCCTTAACTCCTAAATATTACCGTACATATGAAAGGCCAAGTGGCGATTTTTACAGTTAGTGAAAGATTATCAAATCGTCTTAACGGGTAATACAAGTTGAATAAACTAAAAGTGAGTTATAGTATAAAAAAGTTAAAATGATATCTGTTAGGCAGGAACTTATCAAAATTAAGCCTTTTATTTCACAAATGCATGAAATGAAAGATAAATATATAAAGATAATTAATTCTAATTAAAACTAATGTCCTTTCATTGTTGTGGCATTACATTAATTAAATAACATTGCCTAAGAAAGTGGAGGGTGCATTTTAGAAAGTAAAATATATAACTATAACCGTTAATTAAAAATTATGATAAATTATATGCACATATATAATAAACTATGAAGTTGTTATAATCTATTACATTGAATTTATAATCAATAAATTAACCATAACTTTTACATTTTTTAAAAAATTGATTGCAACCATTGTTTCGTCAACATTTCTTTCCTATATATATCATTCCTCCAAGAAGATTTTTCCTTTGGTAAGTGATGATATTTGAGTCTTCTAAAATGGAGGGTGCATGTTAAAAAATAAAAAAATACAAATATAACTGTTAATTAAAAATTATGATAAAATAAATGCACATATATAATAAACTATGAAGTTGTTAAAATCCATCACATTGAATTTATAATCAACTATTATAATTCTACATTGTACCTTACAAAATACACCTCTTTAGAAGATCCAAGGTAATGGGCTTATCCCAAAGTCCATGAGAAGAATGAAAAAATACAGAAGATTTGATCAACTACAGTAAGCTTGACAGCTAAGATTGCTGTCACAAGAATGATACACTAGAAATAATGACAAAAATATTGTTCAAATTACACGTGCACAATCACCAGGTTCACATATTACAACCATGTCATTGCCAATTTGGCTAGAGAACTCAGGCTGGACCTTGAGATATTCTTTCCTGACAAATGTTGCAGCTTCAGTTGCAAGGTGAGCCTCCACAAATGCTACGCAGCATCCTCTAAACCCAGCACCACTGAAGCGTGCCCCCAATACACCGGGAGCCCTCAAAAGGATCTCATACAGTTGAATCATTGGTTCAGCACCTTGGATGGCACAGCATTTTCACATGATCATCAATAGTTACTCAGACATCAAATTACATAAGGACAACATGTAAGTTTCATTCCTTGTAAATATTAGGTAAAATACTTTTAAAGCCCACATGCACGAAAATCAAAATGCAACCGTATTAAATACATGACATCAGAAGCGGAAGTGTTTTGTTTAATTAAATTCAAAGGGCAGTCTTGTGCTATAAAGCTACCACCATGCACAGGCTCCAAATGAATTTAATAAAGTCAAATGTTTGACTATTTTAACTAACCACAAGAAAAAAATGGGACTGGACGGAGATTTTGCATTTTCATGAAAGGGATCAAGTCAAGAAAAAAATTTGTCTGCTAGCTGAAACCGTGCTGGTTAAGAACTAAACCTCGAGACTTGAGTATGCAAAGCCGCAATATAGCAATGCTTTTGTACACAACCATCAGTAAAGCTTCCAACCTGAATGATTTGCAGCTCTTGAAGATTTTTAACAAGGTTTTTAAGCAATTAATTTGTTCTAATTAGCAGCTATACGAATATCATCTACGCCCACCAATGTTACACATTAAAATTTTCAAGTTATTTAAATCAAAGCTTGTGAAAAAGTATTCATGATATGTTTGAGTAAATTATTTGAAAGTTCCAAACAATTCATCTAAAAAGCTGTATTTGGTCTTTTGTTTACCAATAAATTCCAGATATATTGCGACTGATATGAGACCAAAACCCCAATCTAATGGTGATACACGAAAAAAACAAATTTAGAAAATAGATAGAAAATAGTACAGATTGCTTTGCGGAGAATTTGGAGTTTCACTTGTGAACACTCCATCATGTACTAAGGGCTTCGAAGAAAGCTTAGGAAAGCTACAAAGAAAAAGTTTAGAGGAAAATATAGAACAGTAGAGGAGCCACATGTTCAGAAGTACCAAAAGGGAACAACACAATTTTAAAATCCAACACTTTCATCTAAAATGTTTTAGGTGTTTCCAGGCACAAATTTTAATTTTTGCATAGGATTATGTATTTAGAAAGACGGGCAACTAGATTTTAAAAAGTTGAAAACTGGGTAAGAAACGTTTTTTCAACACATATTGGTTTCCTGTATTTCGAGTCACTTTCATACTAGAGCAGCAAATTTCAGAACATTCCAAATTTGGGGATTTAGGTTATACCGCATTCATAATTTTGAATGGAACTCCGACCAGAAGCAGAAATAAGCATTCCAAAATCTTTTAACTTGCCCATTGACCAAGCCTCAACTCCTGGGTAAAAAATTAAATAAATTACTTGAAAGCACAAAAGGTGAAATGAGCAAGAAATGCACCTATGAAGTTTAGATTTATCAAAGCAATTTGAGTGACGGTACCTTTCATAACACGCATGTTCTCTGAGAAATAATGTTCTGCTCTTTTGACTAGATCTGGTTCTAATTTGCACTGCACAAACAAATGTAGGATTGCTAGATTATGTGAAGATCAGAATTTGGATTCAAATTATACATGACACATGAAAGAAGGCATTAAACACCAGTAAATAAGCCGGAACAAGTAAATCGATTAAACTAACTAGCATAGAAGGAAACCCACAATACTTTTTTGCAAATGTCAATATAACATGCATAATTTTATCAGCATTTTGAACATTCAAAATGGCAAGATTTTAGAGTGCGAGAACCATTAAACTTCAGCATATGAAATACGCCATTTCTACCTTGGAAAACATTTAAAATCCTGTTTTGAGCTTGAATGCATGAAAGACTGCTCACATTAGATGCAAACTATTCAAAGTTTGACTTCCCATATAACTCTTATTACAGTTTGTACTCTGAAGGAACTCCAATACAGTGATTGATGAATTTCATATCTCCAATCAACACATTTTTTTACAGATCCAATGTTGACGAAGTAAAACATTGCAGAACCTTTATATCTTCACATAACATTACATGATTGATGAACTTTGATATGTTAGTGCATAGAAAGGGAACTGTTTAAGCACATTTCTTACTTTTCTTTAGTTCTACAATCTTCAAAATTGTATTCCTAGAATGAACCTATTTATTTATCATGTGTTTCATGTTTGTTGAACACTTATGCCATGCTATATCACAAATTAACCTGGATACGGAAAAATCTGTATAGTTATGGATTCAAGTCAATTCGTTATACCTTGTGAGTCTCATAAACTTCTGGTTCAACTGCTCAGTGGAAAAGCCAAAAAATAACTTAGATCAGCAAGCTATGTGATAAAAGATTTAACTATGTTCAAATATGAGAAGTCAAGATACTGGCCATTAGATAGGATGGGCTCTGCTTTATATTCCCCAGATGCTCTGCAGAATAACAAAAACAATATAAACTTCCTGGGCATTGATTATCTTGTCAAATAATACATCAACTTAGTTCTTATTGTAAATCAGTTTCAAAGGGACCAAGATTTTAATATTACGAAACTATATGGACATATAGCTTAGGGGGGAAAAATACAGGAATAAAAAAAGAAATGAATAAAAACTATAACAACAGAATTTAAAGCCCAAGTTTGACTTGATGAAAAAAATTGATTCTCAAACTAGACTCATTTATCTAAATGTTTCAAATTGAAGTTTGGGCTAGGCTTGTTTTAAAAAATATTATGTTTAAGCCCATCTTGTTTAGCTCATCTTCCACTTGATTATTTTCTCTATACCAAATCTCTTCTTGAAATATTAATCACAATAAGTACTAGCTTAACTATACATGAATTTAGCTGTCATTGTGATTAAAATTTACCTCGATCATCTTATAATAAAACTAAAAAAAGTAACCCAATGAACATTGTGGGGTCCAGGGAAAGTAGATGAACAAAACCTTGCCACACAAAAACGAGGCGCCAACATTACCGTTGCAACAAGGCTCACCCTCGTCCTATAAAAAAACTAGATGCAAACTTAGACTATTGCAAAAATTGATTCACGAGAGATCTAATTGAGATTAGTGAGGAGTACAAAGGCATTTTATCCAGTTTAGCAGTTAACTGCTTCCATCCTCTCAAAACAGTATATTGACTACCTTTTGGACTTAAAAAGGTAAAGTTGACCGATCTTTGATGGCAACAGCTCTTAAGACGATAAAATTGAGAAATTTCCTCAATATTTTGCAATGCATGTAAAGTGAACACAAGTTCTTATAAATACAAATGAAAACAGTAAAAAAGTTTCAAGGGAAGAAAAAATAAAATAAAACTTACTTAAGAAGAATTTGTGCAGCCTCTTGACACTCTACAACTCGCTTATTATATCCAGGGTTATTAGTCAAAGCTTGCTTCAACCCTGAAAGTGCCAACAATATTTTGGTCGCTCTTGGTTGCTCACTCTCTTTGCATTCTAGTACTTTTGGTCGGTAAACAAGTTGATAATCTTTGGTCTGCATATGCCATACTAACACATGAAACAGTGGAATGATGATTATAAGAGCAACAACAATGTTATGTAAAGTTACAATGCTCTTTTTTACAGGATTTTTACAACTTATTAATCTGACAGTAGAAATTCAGAGCAAGTGATCCAACCAAAGAAGCCACTTATACAAGAAATAAGAAAGAATGAGAAGATAAATAAGTTTGAGTGCCAGAAGGGCACATGATCAACATGCCATATGTCAAATCTGATTCCATAACTGATGGATATGCTTCAAAAAATAAAAACACATTAAGAACTTGAGACAACACATTGATCCAGGTATTACCTTGCAATTCATGCACATCAAACAGCCACTAGCTGACAGTAATATAGCTGATTGGTCCATTATGCCATTTTTCAGACCCAAATATTCATTCTCAATCAACCTATAATGAGAAAATTAACATTTAGGAGTGCTAATCTAATATCACCAGACAATTAAGAAATGACTTAGTAGCATATCTATAACCACAATGACTGAAAGGATGAGATTCTAATCCTTGTCCAAAGTTGATGGTAACATTTTAGAAGCAGTTTTTACTTTCCAGCATGGTGTGATGAACAAAAGCATAAAATACGGAGGTTTGAAGAAAAACATTGCTCTTTTCCTAACAAACAAAAGCCCATTCATAACAGGTAGTTAAAAGCAAAAGGTGTTAGGGGGTTTAGACTTTAGACCCTTGAGCTGAAAGGTGTAAAGCCTTGCTAAAACAAATACGTTAACATTAGGGCGAAAAATAAAGACTGTCAAAACATTTGAATATTTCACATTGATTTTCCATATAAATTAATTTCCAAGACATGACATTGAAAGTAAAAATAAAAGGTGTCCCACAATTGTTAATCATCCTACCTTTTATGCTTATAAGTTATACATTTTCTTAATTTCTAAATGAAAAAACTATTCAATGTTTTTTTATGTTTTCAAGATAATAAATGCATATACCTTTTCATCTACTACTTCATAAAGTAGTAGGAAGATATAGCAAAACTCTTGTTTAAAATATGTTATGTCTTTGACTGCACTGATTCACACATTTGCCCATGGCAAAAGAATGCATTATGCCAAGGATTTGGATAAACTTACCTATCATATTCAATATTTTCTGTGGGAGATATTACTAAATTATTTGCATATTCCAAAGCCAAGAGGTAAGCCACTCCAACCTGTTAAACAATGAAAGTTGGAATCCCTCAGAAAAAATCAGAAAACATGAGCAGTTGCCAAAACGTCAGTACTCAGTTAGTAGTAACTAGTAAGAGGTCTATCATGGTGTTTTTAAAAAATAGGCAGGGAGAAATCATTATTGTACCGCAGCAGAAGAGCTTAAGCCTGAACTGTCCAGACCTTCAGAACCACATATGTATCCTGTGATACCCTGTAATATTGTGACAAGGATGGGTAGGCATATATTTCTAAATAATAGGAATAACTAGCAAGCAGTGATATTCATTGCAAGAAAACCAGAAATGCAGCATGTTGTAAATGCAGCCCACCAAAACACCATAAACAGTAATGCTGCAATGAAATCATGCTTGTTTACATCTTATGCTGATGTTTATATGAAACATATTTTAACCCACTTATTACATGCTCCAGGATTTACAATTTTCTCCATTTGTTCTTAGGACAATTTTGGAATTGAGTGTCGTTTTCTAGTGCATTTGCTTATACATGAAAAAAAAATCAGCCTCCTGATTCCAGTACTTTGCTGATTATTGCAAATCTTGGCAATGCTTTTTGTTATTTCAAGCTATTTTCTTTCATTTATATAGTTCTGTTGGCCTGTATGTTCACTGCATCAACTTCCAAGTATTGTGGTGTATTCACATGTCATCACTCAAAGAAGAAAAGGCAACCTCACACCAAAATACAAATTATAATCTTTAACTCATTAGCTTCTTATACTTATTCTGATAAATATAAGCTTCTTTTTTTTTTGTTGTACCCATGAAAATTCAAAAGTTGTTGAAAGTCAACATCAATATTCAGGAATGTGACAACCATAGTAATTAACTCAAAAATATATAATTAGTCAGGATCATATTGTACAGGCCTATCCAAAGTTTCATAGCTGAATTGATTATAAAAACTATGATAAGGAAATTTTAAAATTGTAAGGAGAGGAAAAAAATGGCTTCAATTTGATTTGGTAATAGATTTTCGTGTTTCACAAAAAACTCATTGAAGTTGACAATAACCTCTTGCTACTCAGGTTCATCCTAAGATAACACCAATGTAAAACAGATCGATATCTTTCCGCAAAGTGCACAGTACATCGAACATAGGCATAAGTATGCCTTTTACTATAGAATTTTTAAGGCGTAAGTAAACTACACTGCAGAGTCTAAATATTCAATTGAAATAATTTGTCGTGTTACCGTCCGTCTGATGTATGTATAACACAAGTGTAGCATAGTCAAGTGATCAACAGAAAGGTGAACCTGCATGGCATTATATCTTACCTTAGAAAGATTATTTCCTCTGCTCTGGAGTGCATATACAGCTCCTCTAGCATAACGCCCCCAGTTACATTGCTCCTGAAGCCTAGATGAGTCCTTTTCTGAATTCTCATCTTTTGTCCTAGTGATTTGCCTTGGCTTTTGGATCTCATTAACTCTATCAAATATCAATCATTTTATAATTCAACATTGGGAAAATTACGTAGTGTTGTTTAGGAAGTTCAAGATAACAAAATTATGCAACAAAGACAAGAATAACCAAGATCAGAATGACACAAATGCATGTAAATAGCTCAATTGGCACTGGCCCAAAGTGTTGAAGATTTGGGCGTGATGATGATGTCAGAGGTTTGATCCTCTGCCAGGCCAGCTATCCCCTCCCCAACCCACCTGCATGCACCTCCTATGTAACCAAAAAAGAAATAAAGAATGAAAATCGAAATCATATGCCAATTACTGCTTAGAGAGCCCATCATTCAGCCATATGTGTAAGGATAGTCGGTGAAGCTTAACAATAACATCATTTGTCAATTCGTAAGAGTTAGCAATTATATTTCATCTTCACTAACTATTATGTAGCATGTCTTATAAACCTAATGATTTGCTCAGAGGTAGCACACATCTAAATGCAAGCATCTGGAATACATCACCCAGGATAACTTTATAAGCAAAGGAAAAGAACTTAAAGAAATATATAAATAAATAAGAAATAGCAAGCCTTATATCACTGACCACAGACCTGAACTTAACTTCTCCCTGAAACTGTCCAGAACGAATTACAACCTAAAAGAAAAGCCCCAGGGATCATTCATCAAACAAATGAAAGCATCACGAATAACAAGTTCGTGTGCATAGGGAGCGTATCAATCGAGAATGTGAGAGAAGCTAATCTTAACTATACAACTCATACATATCCTTAGCAGCTGTTAATTGAACAAAAGAAATCTCCAGATGTTTTCTCATATTATGTTGAAGATTATAAATTGAGAACAGGATCAAATTCTACCTGATTACTGTCAGAAGGAGCAAACCCCAGAAGTATTCCCCTATCGATTGTCATAGCTAAAACAGTCCCACCCTGAAAATACCAGAGCAAATTACAAGAGAACTCATTCGAACTTCAAATGAAATTTGGGAGAATATTGCCCAGTAACTGGACAGGTGAAATTTATCTGCCCAGAACCACTGTTCTAGTACGTATGCTCAAGATCAATCAATGAGTTTCATTTTACTATAACAGAATGATATATTAAAGTACCTGATGATCAATGTGAGCCCCCAAAGGACAAATTCGATAGGGAGATACCACAACTCGAACTTCCTCTTTATTCACATGCGCCATTTTAGAAACTTTCTCTCTCATTTCATTTAGCTGCAGAACACATGCAGATTAAGCGCTGGGTATTGAAGAGTACTGGAATGAGGAAAGGCTGATCAAAAGGCAATTCTTCTTCCACTCCCACTTTTAGTTCAGGTACTCTTAACGTTTTTTAATTATTTTCCACTTCTATTGCAACATTCCATTCCTCAATTTTCCAAAGGCTAAAAAATCTCAACAATGAGAAATATTCAAAGTCATATTATGAATTAAGAAGTTGCTGCGCTGAACATTATCCACAGATTGAACCACATTGGAGAAGATTCACCAGATATTCCTTGCTCACAATCAATCAATTTTATTATTAGAATAATCATATCCAAAACTCATATTTATCCTTCCTACTTCACAACGCATTATTTTAAAAAATGCGAAAATGATGTTCAGTTACCGATCCCTATGCAACTAAAGTAATATTCAAAAACAGAGAGAGAGAGAAACTAGTAGTACGTTACTTTCTTCTCATTGAATTTTCAAATCAAACAACGACATACAAAAAAATTCTCAAACATTAAATGATCTCCGTTAAGAATATGTTGCGAATTCTTTAAAAAAATCAGTATCATTGATTGATTTGAAAACTTTATGTAAGTTTAGTAGAATATGCAATGCAAATATCAGCTTCGAACTAAACCAATGCAACATCGTTTCTGAAATAGAGTCGTTTGAACAAACTGTTTCGAAACATAGAATGCGCCACCGCTAATAAAGTCGAAACAGCAATGTGGCCAAACGGTGAAGCAAGAAATCAAATTAAGCGACGAAAATGTGAAGGAGAAATAGCGAGTAGATCTGAATATATACGTATATATATAATTACCTCGGCAACGGAAGGCCAAGAACACAGGTCAGCCATCTCCGGAATTACAAGTGCAAGATTGTTTCTGAGCGACGAAATGCGAGGGACAATTCAGAAATGCAGAGGAGATTGGGAAACTAACCAAAGCACACACAGACACAGTGGTTCGGATGGGGATGCAGTTCTGCTATTCACATCAAAATAAAAATGAATGTGATGAACGGTTGGTGATGCAAAAAACCAACACGCAATAAATTAAATTTGGTGGTATTCCATGATGTGATGTCAATGCATCATATGATAATTAATTATCTATCATCATGCCGTGTGTTTCTACTAATTCTTCTTATACCCTGTTAAATAAAACTACGAATGTATTTAAATTTTTCTTTATTTAGTAAGAATTGTATTTTATTATCTCACTTATCATCATCTTAATTATCTTTCTATATATTTTATAAAATACGTATCAAATAAAAATATGTATTTATTATTTTAAAAATATAAAACGTAGTATTTAATATTTTTTACATTTAATAATTAATAAGATTTAGAAGAATATAGGCAATAATATTTAGAATTATTCATTTAACAAAACTATTTGTAAGAAAATGCTACATTGAGATAAAAAAAAATTATTCATCATATGATAAGGTTTAAGAAAAACCAAAATACATTTTTATTAAAAAATATGAAATACATTTATCCTTAATTTATAATGTATATAATTTTAATAAAAAAGCATTGTGTATTAAAACATTGGTTAGTGAGATGCTTAACTAAATTACACTACCCTCTCTAACTCATGTGATACCTTGTTTGAGCGTTTTTTCTTAAATTATTTTAAATTATTCGTTACTTTCAAATATTAAAAAATATTTTTTATCAAGAATAAATTTTGCGAACTAGTTACTACAATAACTCTAGTATTATTTTAGGAATAACTCTGACCAACTAATTACTACAATAACTTCAATAGTTTCTATAAAAGTATTTGAATGAAATAAATTTTTACTATGAAAATTGATAAAGTTAATTGTTTTTCTAAAATGCGTACATTGATATTAAGTAGCACCTAAAAAATACAAAACTAATAAAAAAAATTAATTTTTATTATAATAAAATAATTTTATCTTTATTTAATATTATCAAACCTAATATCATTGTTAATATTTATATTTATTAATGTTAACTTAAGCTTTTACCAACTCTATTTGCAAGAATAAATATAAATATAATAAGTAATTGATAAAAACTTCTAAAATCCTTTAAAAAATTATTTTAAAAAAACAGGAGAATAAATTGTAGTTAATTCAATGATAAAATAGCGCGTGCAAGCTTTTGACACCTAACTTTCAATTCATTATTGTTCAATTTCACATAAAAGCACAAATGTTATCGATTGCAGCAGATACCCATGATTACTGTGATTGCAGTTGGTATTTGATCATTTACCACCCTGATGATTCATAAATTCATTTTTTGACCTCAAAGATAATGCGTTATTAATTTATCAAAAATTTATATATGAAAAGTAATATGTGAATATTAATATGTAAAATAAGAGATAAAATTAAGTTTATAATATCATTATTAAATAAAACACTGTTTCAAGTAATATACTTTATTTTTCAAATAATATAATAAAAGTTGTTAGAAAGTTAACTCCACCATAAATATTTTCCAGAAAGTTTCTTTAAAAGAAAAATACGGGTTTTACTCATAACCTTCGTTATTTTATTCAACCTACAAAATTAGTCTATGTCTAAACTTGAAATTAGGCTTAACCATATTTGACAAGACTGCCAACCACGGTGATTTGTCCTTTAAGTTTCATCTGTACGACAATGATAACAATGGTTTGGTGCTTCTGGTTCAAATTTTTTTTTCAGTTCTTTAATTAGATATACTATATTTAAGAAGAATGAAATTCTTTATCATTAAAATTATTCAGTATTAATAAATGTGAATAATTATTTATGTCTGTACATGTTTACTATATTAATCTTAAAAATAATCAAATTTAATAAATATATTTTTTAACTTTTGATTTAATCTGATTTTAGCTTTATTGGCCAAACTGAATTAAAATGGGTTATGTAAATTGTACTATATTAAACTCGTATAATCTTGAATAACAGCTAGAGGGGATGGATAATTGCTTCGTATATACAATTTGATTATAATTATACTCGTTATTGTAATTAACTAAGCAAATGCTTTAGTTAATTAATTACACAATTGATTTTTATTTTTAAAGCTGATTCAATTTTTTTATGTGAAAATAAATAAAATAAAACAATTAATTGTAATCATACTGCTATGAAAATAATGCCTTTCGTTTTAGTAAAACGAGGCTAAAATCTAAAGAACAAAATATTATATCACAATATTTCAAAGAGTATGAATGTAATTTGCTCAAATAAACTCATTTAATTATTCTCACAATATTAAACTCAACATGTCATTAAAATTGTCCTTGTGACTGAAACATGAATCACTTATCATAGATGGTCTAAGCACATCTTAACAACGTTTCTCAAACAATAAATTAAACATGAGTAATTTTAATAACATGTTGAACTTTTTGTTGGTGAGACAAGGAAAAGAGACACATGATCGTGATCCTGTATGCATGAGCGACAAGTGTTAATTTTTCTTCAAAATATCATTTAATATTGGTAAGTGTTCTTATATCTTTAAAAATTCATTTTTTTTTAAAATTGACGTGTGTATTTTTATGATCATTCCACCCTAACACAAAACGTTAATACCAGCTGCACTGAATAAAAAATACAAATATTTTTAAGAGTTTAATTTATATTATTAATATAAAATTTATATCATTATGTAAATATTATTATAAATATAACTTTTAAAGTTTTAATCACAAAACTAAATAATTTTAATAACATAACAATTCATAATTAAATAATAGTATAACTTTGTTATATATCAGTTTATTTGAATTAAACTGTAACTTTAAACTATTTTTTTTCATAACATATACAAATAGTTATTATCCAAGTTAAGGAAATTAGAAAAAATTTAATGCGCTTATCACAAATTTCTTATTTTAAACTATTCCTCACATAGACCGATGAACCAGCGTTACCAAAATTGTGCTACTATGTAACAGGAATTAAATGGTCACTCTTCAATTATTACTTCAAACAACCAAAATTAAATGTCAACAAAACCACAGTAATTATTAACAAAATAACTACAGAAACACAGCAACTACAGTAATCATTGGAGACTGATAGGAATTCGGCAAGAAATTCATTTTTGAAATAGTATGACACAGATGGAATTTAAAGCAGGGTTCAGACAGAGAGAATAGAATTCAGGGAGAGAGAAGATTCATACCACGAGCTATTTTTCTCGTATGAAATCACGCCATTTAACGTTCTCCCTCCTTTCACGTGAACTCTTGCGCAATCTCATGCTCCTTTCTTCGTTTGACACCATTTTACTCAACAAACTCTTCCAACATTATAAAACCTTCCTTCACGTGTGTTACATTACTCCCCCTTTGACAACAACCTTGTCCTCAAGGTTGAATTATGGATAAGCTCGCTTCATCTCATCGATATCTTCCCAAGAATTGTCAGCGTCAAACAATGAATCCCACTGCACCAAGACCTCCGAAACCTCCTTTCCATTTCTGTTAATCACACAAGCATCAAGGATCTTGTATGGCAACATTACTAGACTAAATTCATTTGTTGTCAATGATAGAGGGAAATATTGCTATTTAGGATCACCCTGGAACTTCTTAAGCAAGGAGATGTGAAACACCGGATATATCTTTGCAAAATCCGGTAAAACCAATTTATAAGCAACATGCTCAATCTTCTCAATGATCTTAAACAGACCAAAATACCTAAGACTCAATTTTTGGTTCTTTTTTAAAATAACGGAATGTTGTCTATATGGTTGTAATTTTACCAAGGCAAGATCACCTACCTCCAACTGGACATCCCTTCTCTTTTTATCCGCCTGCAACTTCATATAGTTCTGAGAATGATGTAGTTTACCTTTCAGCTTAGTTAACAAAGTATCACAAGCCTTCAAACAATCTTGGAGATCTGCTGGGTCATGCTCATTATGTTTGTATCTGATTATGGTTGGTGGTAATTTTCCAAACACAGCCTAGTAAGGAGACATGCCAATGTTGTGATGAAATGAAGAGTTATACCAGCACTGAGCCCATGGCAACATATCCAACCAATCTTTAGGATGATCAAAGACAAAGCACCTTAAGTACATTTCTAAAGTTTTGTTTAAATTCTCAGTTTGACCATCGGATTGTGGATGGTAAGCTGAGGTCATAGCTAGAGTAGTGCCCTGAGACTTAAATAGTTGTTTCCAAAAATTGCTGATAAACACCCTATCCCTATCAGACACAATGGATTTTGGGAACCCATACAACTTGACAATGTTCTGAATGAATGCTTCTATGACTGACTTGCTATTAAAACCAGACTTCAATGGAATAAAATGAGCAAACTTTGATAATCTGTCAATTACCACCATGATATTAGAGTATCCATGAGATAAGGGCAGGGAAGTGATGAAATTCATAGCAATATTCTCCCAAATGAGGTCTCGAATGGGAAGTGGTTGAAGGAGTCCAGCAGGTAAGGATTGAGTGACTTTCGCTTACTGACAAATAGCACATTCTTGAACAAACCTTCTTATATCGTCTCTCATTCTGTGCCAGTAAAATTGAGCACTAATTCTAGCAATTGTTCTAGTAGTTCCAGCATGATCTCCTACTTTAGATGAATGAAATTCATTCATGATCATCTTTATTAAGGTATCATCCCTTGGCAACATAATTCTCCCTTTCCATGTGATAACATCTTGCTGCAATGAATAATCTCCACACCTTCCTGCATTGTTAAGACAATCTTGATAAATTTTCCTCAATGACTCATCATTTCTGGTTGCAACAGCTACTGTTTAAAGCCAAGTGTTTGAAGGTTCTGACCAAGCCATTGCAAGGCTCCTAGACAAGGCATCAGCAAGTATATTTTCCTTTCCTAGAAAGTACTGAATTGTGAAGTCATACCCTATAAATTTGGTTAACCATTGCTGTTGCTCCGGGGTTTGAAGTGTTTGATCAAGAAGCTCTTTCAAGCTTTG